TTTTGCGAATTAAGAGGAAATGGAACAACCTTTTATTTAAAAACCCGCCAATATTTTTTTGATCCGTGTGAACCAGAAAATACTGTTTTGCTTCTTGATTCATAGAAAAGATATAGTGAGAAGTTACGACGATCAATCCCTAGGTAAGAAACAGTGTAAGAAACAGGAAATATTAAAAATAGCAAAAAATACCCTACCGTTTGTTCAACCATTTAATGTTAATAGGTTTCGAAGTTGAAAAAATGTTATTCATAAACTTTCTAATCCTTTAGTTTTACTGAATTTAGATACAAATTTATTCACAAAAGACAATGTAATAAATATTGATAAAGCTAAAGTTGAATGCTTGCTTCTGAAAATTATGCTATGCACACTAATGAAATTCAATGAAGAAATTCATTATTAAAAGTCAAATAAATACTTATACGTTTGGCTAAAAGTTTCATTGGCCATAGAAACCCATGTTCCGTATAGCGACGACAGGTACCGCGGCGGATTTATACCTGTTCGCTGGACCTCCCCTGGCTACCGATGAAACAATAAACATCTGATATTGTTCAATTGTTAAAAACGTGACAAATTATCGTATAAAAAGGGCTCACCCTCTTCGAAAACAAATCTCAAATCATTTCTCCGTAAAAAGTAGGAGAAAATTGTATATGTAATAATTATTGCTAAATTGCAATAAACAAAAAATTCCAAAATCACGTATCCCCTATTTTGATCCATACTTTTCGTATACAAATTTGCAAAAAAAGTCGAACTGCATTTAGGGTGAAAAATTGAAAAAAAGTTCAATTTTTGAATATATTATTTAAATAAATAATTTCTCCCGAATTTTTTGTCACTAACTAAATTCCTGACTAAAAACTACACAATTTGAAAAAAATTCACCTTCCTACACCCTCTAGTTTCCGAAATGTTAAAGAAAATGTGTTTTCAACCCCGAACTTTGAGGGCTATTTTCACCCCCTCAACATGCATGTCCGCAGATATAAAAAAATACGTGTCAAATGATTTTTGAAAAGCTACCACATATGTGAATTTCATTAAAATCCGCGTGTAACACCTTGGTGATGTCCCTTGTAAGTTCAAAATTTAATATTTTGTCGAATATCCTCCGTCTTTTGAAACTTTTCTGTTCTTATTTTTCATAGAAAGCATTAATTTTCATATAATATCCGGTTCTATTGTAACTTATCATTTTGACAGAACATGTACAATACAAGATAATAAATAAAAATATAAAATATCAAATCATGATTGTGAATTCTTTATTCAAATTGTGGAAAAAATATGACCAAATTTAAAGAAAAAATATTAATTATACATATGTTTCGTTAAAATTTGCATACAGCGTAAGTTTATGTATTACCTTGAATATTTATGAGAAAGGTGTATTTCTAAATCACATTATTTAACACAAAGGAATCTCCAACAGGCATATATATCCGTGACTCGAAAACAAAATATTCTTTCTTAATCACTGTATTAATGTAATAGTATAAATAATCTGTCATTTAGAATGCTATTAAGTATTCGATGATGTGGAGAAAGAAATCGCATTTTGTACAGTTGAACTTACCGCTTCTATAAATAGGTCTTCCTTATTTTCAGCTAATTCCTTAAAGCGAACCTTCAACGGTATAGCACCTTCATAAATGCAATCGACGTAGACATCGATTCGTGCATCTGCTAAACTTTGATGCACTAAGAAGATTATATTCTTTGTTGGTGAATGGATAGTTAAAGTATCCATGTTAATCTGCTCAGCAGTACGATGACCATCTTCATCAATGTTCTCAAAAATTACTGAAAAATGTCATTCCTTTAATGAAGGATTAATCTTACAACTAAAATAAGAGTAAAAAACGCTGTTTGATACATTCCAGCAAAATGCGTTCGTGATGACTGATTAATTGCTGAACGGCACAATTTTAAGTAACCAATAGAAGTTTTGGAAGTTTAATTTATACTGATAATGGACTTCAGTATTAACAAAAATACATTTTCAATACATTACTTTTAAAAGATTGACGGGCCATTAGAATAATCTCAATTTCAATTTAATTTTACATTCTTTTCCATTTCCATTTTTTAAATTTTGAACTATTTCCTTAGAGATCATTTTCCTAATGTATATTTTTATGTTTGAAAGTTAGATTACTTAATTTTAATAATTATACTATTACACAAGAAATATAATATATATTATATGTAATATAATAAATAATTTACCAATTGTACCTCAAATATCTTTATTAATTTTGCAGGTAAAAAAAGTTACTCGAGAAAAATGTTATAGTATTTTAAGAAAGTCATATGTCCCCAAAGTACAAAATCATATAAATACTATATTGTTCGACATTTTTCAAATAGCAATGTTTTTTGATTGGAATTATTCATTCCTCTATTTACTATAAGAAGGTAGCGTAAAAATTTATTCAGATATATACGATAAAATGTTATTGAGATGACCTTGGGCCAAAAATTTTGTAACAAATTTATCTTAAAAAAAAGAAAATATGAGAACGGAATTCATTAGTTACATTATTGAACTTATACTATTGCTTATGACACAAAGCAAACAATAGATACGCGCATCCATAAACGCATACTCGAAAATTGCATAAAAATATTTAAAAAAAGTTACAATGATGTAACTTAAAGTGCGGAAAACATCTAAATTGCATAATTATCACAATCAGTTTTTGTTATGACCAGTTTTTATTATGAAAATCAATTTATTTTTTTGAATTGCAAAAGAGATGCTATTCCAACGGATTGTATAATCGTAGAATCTATCCTTCGATAACATTTATAGAGTTGTGACTCACGTATTATCGTCATTTGTCGAAATAGTCATATTTATTTACAAAACTCATGTTCTACTACTGTGTTAAAAAAGTAAGATGAATTTATTCATAAAATGACAAATCCTTATTCATTCCTCTAATTCAATCTCGTCACTTTGAATGTGTTTCCCATCTGACACAATACACTTATGCCAATGTTTTTTCCAATCCTCGAAACAGTTAAACAGTGGATTCGGAACGGTGTCCCAGACACGGTCTTTTGAGTTTGTTAAACAGCCAGAAGTCACATTTGTTAAATGAGACGAATACAGTGGTTGTGAAACGATATGTTTCACAACACGATATGTTGACATTTTGGTAAAATGCTCTTGAAGAACTAATGCAGTGTGGGACGGCGCAGTATCGTCCCACGCGGAATTGACGAGTTTGAGGCACAAAACGTCTTTTAAGATATTGAGTGCTATGTCGGTCCCTAGAAACCGACAGTGAACTTTCCATTTAGGCGGCGTCGATCCCTGAAGACTGACAGCGGACTTTTCGTTTGGACGGCATGAAGTCTAGGGACTGACAGCGCATTTTTTCGTTTGGTCGACATCAATGCATGAGACCGGCATTGTAAAGGGTTAAATTATTAGTGACAATTAAAAAATTTATGTTAAAATTTTCTCTACTGCAGTAAATCTTTGTACTCCTGTGGCTTTTTCCGACTGATCGTCTCTTGGTATTCGCTTTTTTGCCTTTGTGACATTCCCCACCCCATTATCTTATGTTTATAAACTGTATACATGTGCATTTGTTGTACCATTCTCATAGTCCAAACGACAAACAAAACAGTAAAAGAAAGTAATCCTCTGTTTATACTCTTCAGTCTAGTGAAGTGTCTACTCTCCGCGTTTAACGCTCGGCATCAAGTGCTAACGCGCTGTCGCCTGAGCAAAAAGTATAGTAAGATCAACACCGCACTGAACGTGTTAAAATGGTTTCGGTTGATGCAAATGATATGTCCGCAGCGTCAACAAGATCTCTAATTGTTAATCGACGATCTCCGAGCACCAAATCCTTGATTTCTTTCAGGGTTCATTCTTTAGTACATGTTGATGGTACGCCTGGAGCGCTATTTGTCTTGAAAACATTTTTGTAAACATTTGTTTGCGACATAACCTTGACAGCAAAGGCCTTCTGTAACATCCACAACGTTTCTGCGGCAGAATATTCATTCCATAAACAAAATTTAATGCAAATTCTTTGCTCAACAAAATCAGTCATAGTAAAAATCAAAAGACTTACTTTTGTATGTTTACAAGAACCCATGTAGCTTTGCAGCAATTGAATAGATTGACATAAACCTATGCATAAATATCAAAGACAGTGCTTCTAATACACACAAGAAATAATTTCATGATTCTATAGTACCCGCGAAGTTTAAATGAAAAATTCACCTTACTTTTTGATCACAGCAGTGAAAAAATTGGATTAATATCCAATAGATATTTTTTAAAATAAATAGTAACCTTTCAATAGATATTTTACTCAGGTCTGCTAAGTATCAATCTGTGATTATATATTTTCAATCGTAAAATATTACAATAAATTTTTTAAGAAAGTCGGAAAATATCTGTAAATTATAGTATCAACAAATTTTACGTTATGTGTAATAAAGTTGAATGAAAATTAAATCCTTTATCTCAACATTTTCATTCACATTTCTTTTTAAAGTCAGTTGCACTTCAGCTTTCTTTCAAAGTTTTTAGGTTGTATCCTGAGAATTTCCTCTGATAAACTTGTACAATTTATGACCATCGTCTTTATATCGCACATTTTTAATTAGGGTTTATTACTCGTGCAAAAAGGCAACATACAAAAATGCACTGCAGACGAAAAAATATATTGGCATGCAGAACTATGGGAACCTTTACCAAAAACTTATATATGTTTAAAATATTATAACCTCGTAACAAAAAATTATATAACAATTATTTCAAGCTCATTTTAGACCTTGAAACTTTTACTTCCAGAATTTTATTTAAAGCCGTTTCTGCGTTATATAAAACTTTTGAAACTCAAAAATGTTTTAATTCGAACACCTTCACTGATATTCATGAATATTTTTAAGGAATGTAATCATTATGAATTTCAAAATGGTGTCTCACCTTTATAACGATCCCCCAGAAGATAATGTACAATTCTTTCTCACAATTTCATTAAACTTTAGATGAAACGCGAGCTTTTGTCATTATAATAAGCAAAAGTATACAAAGGGAGACCGGGCACGATATTTGGGTATGAATACCGGGCATGAAATTTAAAAGTATTCTATTCAGTTACTATTAGGTTCTATGTAAAGAAATCATCAAACACATGTTTGTAATACGCAGTAATTGTACATGTCGCGTTCCCAGTCGAAGATTATATGTGTTAGTGTAAATGAAGAAATGTTATTACAATTTGGAATACAAAATATTTACCTCGTTTAGATTGTTTGTCAAGCATCAATACTATTTTCGTTTTCAGTTTTCCATATTTTACAACAAGAAGTGTCTCTACCATCGCTTCTGAGAGTCTCTTCTTTAATTTGATATTCGAAATAGCTATCACGAAATCATTATCCCATGTTCCTTGAAGTTTCGCTGTTAACTCTGTGTAAAGTCAACAAACAAATTATAATTTAAGTACACTGTTCTTAATAGAATTTTAATTTCGAACAAGACACTAAAAAAACATAAAACATAAAAAGCAACAAATTCACTTGCTCATAACCTTTTTATCATTTAATTTCCCAAAATAATAACTTCAACGTTGTTCTTTCCTTAGACTTTTGATACATAATTTGATCCTGGAGTTGTCAGCAACAGTTCAAATAGGGTGTTAATTAGTAAAAGAATAAAGATTAATGTTATTAAATTTGTTGTTATTCTTTTCTTTTGGTACTTATGATACTTATGATACTTAACCCCTTAGCTTACAATGGCGCCTCAGAGGCGTCGTAAGTCTACCGGGCAAAACATAAACAAGACATTTCAGAAACTTGCAACAATAAATCTTTTTTTTGTTTAATAATCAACTAATCGTAATTATTTATCAAACATCTTGCAAAGTTAATTGTACCGCGCACGTGTATATATAAATCATAGGAAGTTTGCGATTTGTACAGATTCGAACGCTAAGCCAAACTGTGTATGTCCCTGCGCGCGACCGACCTTGGTGTCGTTTTTGGCCCGCACAGTTGGAAATTAAATCGTAAGGCAAAGGGTTAATATCAAAATGTATAATTATATATTAAATTCTTTTATGTTACCTGGAATAGAAACATAGTGATTAAATTAAAAAAGGCGTAGGAAAATTAATTTGTATATGAATATCTATTGTTTCATATTTTTCATCAAACTGTTACAAGCACGAAAATGCTTATTGACTTTAGTATTACCCAAAAATAGTAAAACTTTCAAATCTACAATATACATCTAGTTTTATGGATAACTGCAGTATGAACTCTATTAATGAACATTTTGATGTTAAGTAAGTATAATCATTACTACGCAGAACATTAGGAAAGGATTAGATATATTAAAAATAATACCTATTCGTTAAATAGAAGAAGAGGGAATTGATGATTATTTGTAAAAAAATATAAATATTTTAACTTTTAAGCAATTGTTTACATCGATAAATAAAATGCACGAGGTATGTTATGGAAATAATGTTTGTTGTAAATTCTGCTTCTTCTTAGTATCTTCTAACCTTATTAAATCTGATCTGGTAGAATGATGAAGTAAACTCAATATGTATAGTATAAATATAGCTGATCATGAAGAATTCTTCACGCAAAGACAAAAGCATTTATATTAATGACTAAAAACAACCCATATCTTTCAAAATCTTGATACCACATTTCAAGCAACCGGTTTCAAAAAGTCTTTGCTAATGTTTCATAAATAATACAAGAGATGGTATTTCGTATTTCGGATATTTTTGCACGTAAAATCTTCAAACACTTCTATTAGCAAGATTATACATAAAATTTACTTTTACCATTTTTCTATCACAGTATCGTATCATATATCGTATTATATAAACATCAATACTCACTCAATACTCATGTAATCATCAACCAAAGAAATAGTAAAATTTTTACACGATCAATTACCAGAAGTAAGTAATTACAATATTGTCACTTAAAGAGTATTAATGTATGAAATCATTAAACTAATGAAGTACACTAGTTCGGTATTAAAATACTAATTTATACCACACTGGTTAAACATTACCATTTTAACTATTATATTACCTATATTACTTAACTGTTATATTACTTAAACTGTGCATGTTACTATTACATTACTATTACTTAAACTGATATAATACTATTACTTTATTAACATACTAAAAACATTGAAATATTTTGTACTAACAAAATAAAAATGTTAACATGTTTATTACCATAACTGGCAATCATGAAAATAATCATTTCGAGTTAAACGACCATAGAAAGAATTTATCGTTCCAAGCATGCCATTACTGGATTTCTTACCAACTCGTGTAGGGACTGGTTTGCAATACCTTAAACACGTTATGGGACTGACTACAGGTACAATGTCACGATACAATTTATGTTACAATTAATAGTATTCATCTAAAAATAAATAAGCGATATGAATAACAATAGATTGAAGGGACATTTATGCATATGTTATCGTTCACAGTTTAAAAATAGTAATAATACAGGAGGTAATAAATTTATGATAAATTTTAATTTTTATTATTAGAATATAAAAATTAATGATAGTAAAGGAGAAAATAACAAATAATCTTCTACGATTTTTTTTCTGAAAAAATTGGCATACTACTATGTATGTAACTAATGTTATTTCCGAGGTATATGTTGCCATGTAACTAATTTTTGTAATAAATTTCTTTCTTGCAGTTATTTTGTATTCCAATTTTACTCGTTCCTCACATGAAAAATAATTTTCTTAGGTAATTTTTTAATGTTGAAGTAAAATTAAAATTAAATTTAGTAATTAAATTTTCATCCAAAATAAAATTCCAACCTCGGTGCTTAATCATTTCTAGCATGAAAAATGTATTCGTTTTACATAGAAAAATGAAAGAAATATTTCCTTTAATTTTATGATTTAAAATATAGAAACGAACTATATTGCATTCTTAAATTGAAAAGTTTTAACTTATTATAATTATAAGTTAATTAATCATTATAAGTATAAAAATTCAAAACTGTTAACTTTTTCAAGATATTGACAAATTTAATTACAAAACTATCTTTAAGAAACCTTTTATTAATTCCTGTAATACAAATTTATTAATTATTTCACTCTACTTTTTGAATATATTCAACCTAAGTAGTAAAAACATCAATAATGAATCTCTGCAACTTACCTTTATCAGGTATAACGCTGGAATCGACACAAACAACTAAAAGAATTACAACGAGAAACGTCGTTAAAATACGCATTTTAAATAATTTTCTTTCCTTTTTTATCACTTTTGTAATTAATTTTGTATCGTTGCAAAACTAATTTATCTTGTGTTTCTCACGTTTACACTTATTCGAATGAACATACCGGTAATCTCGAACGGATAAGTAGAGCGCGGGACGTTGGCGTTCGTCGACTGAGTCGAGGAAAAGCCTACAGACGACTTTATAGATCACCTACGAGCGATTCCGTGTATAGTGCCGTTGTCCGTAGCATGCAGAATGAAAGGAATTAATGTATCCGAATAAATGCCAACTTCATTTTCTGCATTTTTAATTATGCATATATTGAATAATTAGCAAGCTTACAAACTGTTTTAACTGTGTAAAAATGATCTTTGTTGATTTTAATAGTTTTAAACGGTTGCATTCAAGGACAAATGTATGGATTTTACAAAATATATTGTTCGATTAGTTTAGGTATATTTTTTGTAGTGTAATTTTGTTACACATTTTTTTACTTATATTTAAACGAAAACGTATACAATAAGTATTTTAGTGAATTTCTTTAAAAAATATCAAACTTAAAAAAATCATTTAATGTTCTGAATACATTATTTAGTTATTTCCTTTTTAAAAGACAGAGTTAAAATAAAGAGAAATTTATATTTAATAAAGTATAATAAAGTAATATGCGCTATAGGGACCTCAATATTTTAGAATTTTTTCAGAATTTTTGTACAAAATTAAATAGGCAAAATGGGACAAAAACCAAAATTTCGTTTTTTCCTTTTACTACCCCCACGGATGAGATAGGGGGTTGAAACTTGGTGTGAGATGTTTTTTTTGGATATGTTACCGACTTACTTATTGAGTTTCTCATTTGACTAAAGGGCACATCTGACTACCTTATCTGGCTACACCTTTGTAGTTTCTCACCGACCGGATGTGTATCGATAATGCATACTGCATTTTGAAAACACCCTAATCGTACGCAGTAACGGTTTTTAATGTTTATTAGATAGATTATCTTCTGGCGACTAAGCTGAAATTGTTAATATAGCACATTGCTTTTTTAGAATTAGCGTGGTCTCACGGTCAAAATCTTAGATCATTTTATTTCCCCGAATCACTAAACATCAATGAAAAGCGCGCTCCTATGATCCGATAACACCAAGCGTTCTGGAATGGATCCTAATGAATCCGCGATGCAACATAAAATTACAATAAAAATTGTCCATAAATTTGCATTATACTGTTGTTGCAAGTACTTATACGCCAATTAGTCCTACAATAATTACAGTACAAAGCACAATTGATCTAACAAGGGACATCACCAACGTGTCACACGCGGATTTTAATGAAATTTATATATGTTGTTGCTTTTTTTTGAAAGTCATTTGACACGTATTTTTTTATATCTGCGGACATCCATGTTGAGGGGGTGAAAATAGCCCTCAAATTTGGGGGTTGAAAACACATTTTCTTCAATATCTCGGAAACTAGAGGGTGTAGGAAGGTGAATTTTTTTTTAAATTGTGTAGTTTTTAGTCAGGAATTTAGTTAGTGACAAAAATTTCGGGAGAAATTATTTATTTAAATAATATATTTAAAAAATGCACTTTTTTTTCAATTTTTCACCCTAAATGCAGTTCGATTTTTTTGCAGCTTTGTATACTAAA